TGAACTTACTATTTTTGCTACTTGAATTTATATGATTGATCAACTTGCATGTGCATAGGCTAAATCAATTTTGATTACTGAGTAGTTATACTTACCTCTCTCTTTTTAATATTTATAGAAGCTAGCTCAGGTTAGGACTAAGGAAAAGCATTAAAAACTTGGGAATATTACTTCCTAACTATAGGCCTCTTTTATTTTGATTAATAATACATATTGAAGAATGATAATTGCCAATTTGGAGATCATAATTTGAGTATTACTTGCACTATGGCTGTTGATGTTAATTTGTGTATTTTGGAGGACAAAAGTGAAAATAATTTTAACTATAAAAAAATCAAAATATTCTTCACTTGTTATGCAAAATCATTTGTTGTTAATTTTTTTACTTCACTTATTAATTTACCAATATCACTTACAAAGTATATCTATTTATCAAACAAGCAATAACATTAGTTATTGATTTGTTAACTTTATTTATTAATTTTCTAACATCAGTTATAAATTAGAAAATCTGTTAGTAATTTACAATTAATGTTAGTAAATTAATAAATAATATTAGCAATTTAATTATTGATATTGCTATTTATGATTAAACAACTGATGTTAAATGTTATATAATTATTAACATATCAACTCATGTAATTAGCAACTCACATTAGTAAATTAATAAGTGAAATAAAAAAATTAATAATTAATAATTTTGTATAATAAGTGAAGAGTACTTTGATCTTTTTACAGTTAAAGTTATTTTTCCTTTTATCCCCTTAGATTGAACTAAAATTTTAAAATTTTTTGGAACCCATTGATAATTATATCACATCCTTGGCCCTCATTTGAAATTCTCCCTATAATTTATTACATTTGAGAAAAATAATTATAAGTAAGAAAAGGTTCAAGTGTTCAAATTTGATTGGAGAATTAGTTATAATAAACATTAAGAATTAGGAGATGCATCTAAGTCTTCTCATTAAACATACACCTAATCAATATAAACTTTGCAATTCTACGCGTCAAAACGACTGTGCATGTTTAATTAACCATTTTTTTGGCCAAAGATATTTAATTAACTATTCATTTCTTCCAATCTCACTTAAAATAGTTTTCAATTCCCACGTTTTACTTTTATGAGTAAAATAATATGACATCCCTTCTATTTTGTTAAAATTACATAGACCTTCCATCTATTTTCAAAACATAGACTTTAATCCAATTTTTAACATCGATAAGAATATTGTCTGAAGATTTTAAAATACTTTAATTTTTTATTTTAAATTATGCTGAAAGAATTTAAAAATATTAATTTGCCACTGTAATCGACTTGCCTACCACCTCCTCAATTTAACCAACTTTAAATAATTAAGTATGATAATATTAAAAGAGTAAAAATGTAAATTGACTCATAAACTATAAGATATGAGATTAGAAGTGTCAAAAACCTTGAACTTATTTTTTATACGATATACCCCTCAACTTTTAAAAATAAGACAATCCGGCCCATGCCGTTAATAAAAAATTAAATTTAATGATTAATTGACTAAAAATAATAGAAAATGGCCTCAAACCTATTGAAAAGGACCAATAATTTTTTTATCCTTTTATGTAATTTTTTGGTCATTATTTGTATTTTTTGAATTCTTAATTGTAATTTTTTGGTCCTTTTTTTGAGATCTTTATCTATTATTTTTTGATCAATTAATGATCAAAATTAATTTTTATTAACATAAATTATATTAATTAATATATTTCTTATTATATAATACATCCCTATTTCTTACCCATATTAAAATAAGTAATTTAAAAAATATTGTGTAGAAATTAATAAAATTTAAACAAAATAAACATAAATTATATTAACTATTTTATTCATAAATTATATTGACGTTTTTATTTCCTATTATATACTACATCCCTATTTCATCAAGTGTTTTTTTACATAAATGGTTTGAAGGACAACTTATGCATTTATGTTTTTTAAAAATTACAAAATAAATAAGTTTTCAAAATTAAAAAGTTTAAAATCTGAATTAAAATTGAAAAAGTATACTCCTCTAATCCTATTTATAGAGTAAAGAAAAAAAAATTGATCCTATTTATAAGATACTTATCAATTTTCAATGCCTCCCTTTACATTTTTGTTCTTATTAAATATTTTGAATAAAAATATTAGTAATAAAATTTAAAAATATTTATTAGAGATAAAGGTGAAAACTTATTAAATTTTAAAAGAAAAATTAATGAAGTTTAAGGTTTTCTTTAATTCTGATAAAATATGCTAAAAATGACTTATAAATAAGATTAGAAAGAATATGTATTAATTTTTTTTAGATATCTTGAATAATTTTTAGATAACATCCATATTTAAAGAGAGTATCTTGATCTAATATATATGATTTGACAATCAACTAAATATTAAATGGATAGAAGTGAAATTTTAAACATAGAAAATAGATTTGTATTTTGAAACTATTCATTATAGGAAAGTTTGTTTATATTTAAACTTTAAAATGAAGATGTCCGTAATTAAAGTAAATTATACGAGGAAGTCAGTATAGTTTACTCTATTTTTAATTAATTAATAAGTTAAAGTCACGAAGGCTTGCCTTGGATTCATTCCTCGGATGCTACTGGCGAAGGTACCTCGCAGCTTCGATCTTGTGAGTCCAAATCCACAATCGTTTGTGGAAGGGAGACTCCAAGTCACCAACCTCCACATGCCACACACAATGACGTGGCGCAATCCTTTGTATGATGTCAGCGTGACGTGCATGGCGTCTCAGGCGTTGCTTCCTGGAAGCACGCAATGTGCCTGTTGGATAGATGCATCCCCTCTTTTGCCCCATACCAAACGACACCGTTTAAGTCAAATCATGTTTGAAGGTTTCTAGAAGCTCTACATTAGATTATGCCAATTGCCACCCCCCTTTTTTGTTATTTTGCTTTTGAATAATAGTATGACAATCACAAATCACAAACTTGACAAATATTGCATTGCTATTATATATATAATATAGAAATAAAAGTTGACCACATTAAAGATAAATTATTTGTCTTTAGGAAATTACCAAATATATAGAGGGCTTACAAGTCTTTCAAGAGTTCCTTTTCTTATAAATAATTTTTGACTCCCCATAAGATATTTTTTTTAGTTGACATATTTGGTTTAGTTCAAAAGTAAAAGCTATTGTATGGCTAAATTAGAAGACTTCTCTGGAATATTTTTTTCAGGATAAATATTCCCTCCTTTTATCATTTAATGGTTACATAAAATAAATGAACCTTTTTTATTAAAAATAAATGAGCAATTTAATTGAACTTCTGTGATCAGTATAATATATTGATATAATCAAATTTTAAAAAAATTGTTGCAGGATAAGTTGAAAAACTTGTTCTTTAAAGCATTATATCAAAAATTTATTCATTTTCTTAAAAAAAGATATACTCTCTGTTCAAATATGTAAGGTATTTTTTTAAGAGTTGGATGTTAAAAAATGTAAGATATTTTTAGTCTTTCGAGGTATAATCATTGCCATTTTTTTTAAGTGCCTCTATTGATAGTAACTTTATATTTATTATACGGTGTTTAATAAGAGTAAATATGAAAAGTTAGGATTCATTTGAAAGTAGGTAACTATTTTATTAGGGGATGAGATTCAGTTAAAAATATCTTATATTTTTGAACGGAGGGAGTAATAACCTAATTATAAAATGAAGAATATAATATCAAAATTTCCAAAATTGCTAAAACAAATGGCTTATTTTCATGGAGACTTATTAAATATATAACTAATATTTTACAAGCAAATGAATGTCTATCAAAATTTATATTTTCATAATTTAGAATGAAAAAAACCTAATTATACAGAAAATAATAATTTAAAAAATTCAACTAAATTTTAATTTATTTTTTTAAATCTATACATTCAATATAAATATAGTTAAGTTTTAATTCTCAATTAAAATTACCTTACATACTATTATATATACATATATCTTTTAATTAACCAATTGTTTAGGGATATGGTTAAGAATAATTTCTGTAAGTAATACTCCCTCCATCACATTTTATAAGGCATTTTTTTTAAATATTTTAATTTTTCATAACTTGACATATTTTGAAAAAAAGCCAATGATCTAATGATGAATCTTATATAGTACCTTTCATTATTTAATGAAAAGAGAAAATGTATGAACCTTTCATTATTTAATGAAAAGAGAAAATGTATAAGTTATAGGTTAGTATTAAATGAATGATATTTTTTGATAATTATTTTCATTATATTTTGTATATTTTTTTAAATCTTATAACATATACTCTTTCTGTTAAAAAATATAAGGTATTTTTTAAAGAGTTAAATGTTTAAAAATAAAAGACATTTTTAGTCTTTTGAGATATAATCATTGCCTTTTTTAAAGTGTCCCTATTAATAATGACTTTATATTTATTGTAAGGTGTTTAATAGAGATAAATATGAAAGAATATGATTAATTTGAAAGTAGACAACTACTTTATTGGAGAGTGAGATTCAATTAAAAATGTCTTATATTTTTAAATGAAGGGAGTACTTTTTTTTTATTTTATTTATAAACTACTTCCAGCATATTTAACTGAAATTAAGAAAAATTTTAAATATAATTTATTTTATTTTAAAATTTGATAAGTTATTACCTCTATTCTTAATAAAATAATTTTAACATTTAATAAGAGTAAAAATATTATAAAAATAAACCGAGCAAAAAAAATAAAACATCTTATAAATATAATTAATTTTTTTTAACCTTATAAGTATGATTATATAAATTATGCATTTGTATAAGGAGCATAATTTTTCTTCTAATGGGCCCACAGCCCCACGTGCCTCATCACGAGCTGCCGCCTTGGAATCTACTGGTCATACTATATCAACGGTCCAGATCTTCCGTAATTTCCCTTCCTTTGACCAACAACCATAAATACCCCAACACACACATATCCTTCCTTCTTACCTAATACATTATCAAAAAACTCCCTCTCTCTCCCACTTCTTCTTCTCCTTCTTCTTCTCCTCAACTTTCATGGCCATGACCATGAGTGACAACATGCCTGCCTCCAACGACTGGTTCCAATTCTACCAACAACCACAAGATTTTCACGGCGTGCCTTCGTCTTCCATTTCCGACGCCACCGCGGTCACCACCGTCGTCTCCACTGCCGGCGTGACCACCTCTAGTTCGCCATTGATTCCCATGCTCAATTCCACCTCATCAGCAGCATCAACATCTACCACCACCCACCTCAGCCCTGAAGGCCGAGTCGCAAAGCCCATCCGACGACGCTCCCGGGCTTCCCGCCGAACTCCGACCACTCTCCTGAACACAGACACCACCAACTTCCGTGCCATGGTGCAGCAATTCACCGGCGGCCCAAGTGCACCCTTTGCACCAACCCCATCTTCATCAGGCTTGGCCAGCCTTGGCTTCGGGTTCGGCCTCGGCCCGCGACAGGCCCATATAAGCCCAACCGGTGGGCTCATGGTGGGCCCACCACCAGCAGGCTACCATCTTCAGCCGCAGCAACAACCACAGATCTTTCAGCAGCAAAACTTGGCATTTAACACAGAAGGCGGAGATCAGAGTAGGTTCTTTCAGAGACTACAAAGTAATAGTAACAATAACAACAACAACAATCCAAGGGCTTCAAATAATGCTACTGATCTTGGGATTGGTGGGTTTGTTATGGATCATGGAAGCTTAGGTCGTTTCTTTCCAAGTACGTCTTGAATTATTGATTTTGAGAAATGTCCGATGAAGAAGATGAAGAAATTTACTGTTCAGGAACCCGGATAGGTCGTCTTGTTCAATGGGAACAAGGGGAAGCATTTTGCTTTGGTGTTGATCGATGAGAGTGACATAAAGCAGACAATTAGGTGCTAACTTAGGGAGAATTGTTGACCAACCCTTGTAAAATATATTTATAGTGCACACCTTTTTTTTCTTTTATTTTCTTTTATTGTTTTATCTTTTATTTTATTGGTTTTCTTTCTTGGGTGAATGAAATTGTGGGCGACGCTTCTAGATACCTTTATTGTAAAGGTGTTTTTTTTTTTTTGGGAGGGAGTTTAAATGTATACATTATCAATCAAATAAAAAAAAAATCAAGGATTAGTGTTTTAGCTTTGAAACGGATTGTCACTCTCTTCCTTAAAAAAAATATTAAGAAATTAGATATTAAAAAAAAAATACTTTTAAATTTTTTTATGATCATTACTTTTTTTTAAGTGTCATCATTAAATAAATCATTTTATATTTATTTTAAAATAAATATCTTATTAAATATGAGTGAATATGAAGAGATATAATTAATTTAAAAATAAATAATTTTTTTATTGAGGAGATTTAGTCAAAAATATATAATATTTTTTAACATAGAGAGTATATAATTATAATTGTACTTAATTTATAATTCATATTGTAACAACTAGGTGGGTTATTCCCACTTCCCATAGAATAATGCTTTGTGCAAAACTTTATAAATAATTAAGATATTTATTATTTATAAAAAATAAATAAATTTCTTGTAGATTTATATTTTGTTTTTGGTCTTTTATATTTCATGGAATTATTAAGTAAACTCTACTATTCATATAACTTACTCTCTCCATTAAAAATATAAGGTACTTTTAATTAAATCTCATCTCTCAATAAAGTAGTTATCTACTTTCAAACTAACATTATCTTTTCATATTTATCTTTATTAAATACCTACAATAAATATAAAGTTATTCATTAATAAGGACACTTTTGAAAAAAAAAGGCAATAATTACATCTCAAAAAATTAAAAATACTTTACATTTTTTAACGTGCAACTTTTCAAAAAATGCCTTACATTTTTTAACGGAGGGATTATGAGTAATGTAATTTATTATAATTTTGTTCATTAATAACTTATTATATTTTATACCTATTTTCTTGAATCATATAAATGAAGAAATCTATGTATACAGAACATGATGAATAAATTAGATCGACTATTTATGATTTATAAACGTTAAAATTCTTTCAATTTTTTGTTTGATTAGTAAGTGCTTATGTATTGCACAGAGTTAATGAAATAAATTATATAATTTTTCTAATAATTATAAATTTATAGAGAGAGAAATCATCGACATTTTGTAATATTGTTGTCATGAGTATTTTTTGGGATTTGTTTGGACTAAAGAGGTAACTTCAAACGTGTAAAAACTGAAAAAGAGAAATAGTTGAGGGGAAATGAGCTAAAGTATTCATAAGCTCTTTTACGTAAGTTGACTTGGTTCCTCTCCTCTCCATTCGTAGAAGTTATTATGGGACTTGTGACTTTTAAGCGGCCCGTAATGCTCACACAACACAATCCAAATTCAAGGCATGACAATATTATCAATTTTTTAAAGAAAAATATTAAATCTATGATTAAAATGAAAACAGTAACATTATTTAAGATTAATAATAGTTTATTCAGGAAGCATGATCGTCGTGAAATTCTCAACCCCTTGCCGTCTACGGAGAAGGCCGCTCAGGACTTTCTCTAGTACTGTACCAAGAGTTGACAATTGGGTAAGAGAGTGATTAAACTATATTAACACCTAGCTATTTCTACACTACAATAACCATTTGGGTGAAAAGTGTAAAAAGCCAAATTAAGTTTTGGAGTTGAAAATGTACTTTGTGGCAAAATAGGACATAAACCTACATATAGAGAGAAAGTAACCCTAGACCATATTTTAAATCAAATTGGATCTAAAATAACCTTAGAAAAACTTGGCTAGAAAACATCAAAAGACAATATGCTTAAAAGATGTCCGAAGTGGTTCTTTGGCATATATATCCTATGTTAGGTTTATGCCTTCCAAACATTCTTAAATTTGTGACCTAGGCCATTTCATAGGTTGAGCTTCTTAACAAGGTTTTATCCACCTAATGCATGCTAAAGTCCATTTGTCACAATTTGATGGGTCAACATCATCAAAAGACAATGCTATGTTTTGCTATGATTAAATATATTCTCTCTTGATGATTCTAGGTCTTTCATGAATGAAGGAGAAAAATCTAGAAGGATGGAGAAGTATAGAAATATGAAAGGCAAGCCATACATACACATAATCAAGTGCAAACTAAGTGATCTACCCTAAGTTACTCCCCAAACAATCATTGGATTGAAGCTTATGGAAGATTGTGGGGGAAAATGCCAACATGCTATAGAGGGGGAGAAAAATTAATTACCGAGATATACCATAAAATTTTTTTCCCCAAAATGCTATAAACTACAAATTTGTTTTGGTAAGATTTGAGTTGGCAGGAAAAATTTTTTGCACCAAATCAGTTTGATTCAAGCTAATTATTTGTTCAATAATCCACAACTTGTCTATATTAAAACAGATTTCCTTCATTCGCAGTCCCAAGTCCAAACCAAGGAACCGTCATTCACTAATCATCGATTTTATTAACGTAATTATGGTTATCACAAGAATTTTTTATGATCACTAAATTATTTTCTTCAAAAATGATTGATGGGATAATCATTAATGAATGATAAGCTACTCAGTGGATTTTTTATTTTATATAATGATAATTTTTTGTGATTAATTTAAAGGTTAAAGTACAAATTTAGGGCCTATTTGGCAGCATGTTTTGGGAACAGATTTTTGTTCTCCAAAACAAAAAAAAAAATCTATTTGATCACATGTTTTTAAAAATTGTGTTGGACAATAAAAAAATAAAATATTATTTTGAAGAATAGAAAAATTAAAACATCTTTTAAGTGTTTTAGGATTATTTTTTTAAAGAATAAGAGAGAATGAGAAGAACACTTTTTTATTGATTTTGAAAATATATTTTATAAAATATTAGTTCTTAAAATAATAAAATAAAAATGATTTTAAACATTTTTAAAATTGCACAATTTCATTCCAAACTAATAGATTCATGTTTTGTGCGTTAGTTTGACTTTTTTTTATACCACATGTCATGTATTTTAGAAATTAAAAAAAAAAAAGCATGGGGCTTTTGCGTTCCCCTCCCAATCCATGTTTTTCTTGGCATTCCCCTGACTTTCTGTTGTTTCTCTCCCTCCCTCACGACTCTAGGTCCATCAATCATAGAGCCAACTTTCCGCTCTAACCATGGCAAGAAACCATTGCAATCATCATCCAAGACTCTAGAAACCTATCACCAAAAGATATTAGAGAAATTGTTTCTAATGCAACAAGAAAGACCCTAAAACAGAGCTTCAGCTTCACTTCCAAAAGGGGATATAGGAGAAATAGACGTGCCCATGGAAACAATATAGTCCCAACTAGGATAAAAAAATAACAAAACCAATACCTGTTGTATTATTTTTACCATTAAAAACACCATCTGATAGTATAAAGCTAGAAAAACGAGTTGAACTTGTAGGCTAGCCCGTTTAACCCGTTAGATTTGATAGGTTGGATTGAAAATTAGTCTCTTTTTTAAAATGAGCAGGGTTAGCCTAACCCGCAAAATTAGCAGACTAAAACGAGCTGACTCATGGGTTAGTATATTTTTTAAAAAATAATTTTTTTATTTCTTAATCACATTATATATTTTTATAAATCTACAATAATAATAACATTTTTTAAATATATAATTGATGACTTTCAAGTATGTTCTTTACATTTGAAAGATAATGTAAATAATTTGTACAATTTGCAAATAAAATTTTTGTTATAGTTTATAAATTGATGATTTATTAGTTTTTATAGAAATATTTCGAATATATATTATTTATTAATCTCATAAGATCTATTGATTGAAATCACAAATATGAATTCATTGAGAAAAATAACATTAGTTTATATTTAAATTTTCTTTTTCAGTGAGAAAAGTAATACACCTAGGCAAGAAGATGATTAATAGTAAAAATTAAGCAAAATGAATTTTCTTAGTTGAATTCTATGTTTATTTTATTTATTTACAAGTTCTTTAATTGTTAATTTTCCTTAATATATAAAATAAATATATATTTATATTATATAAATTTTAAATTATTAAAAAAATTCTAGTAAATTTTTGCGGGCTAGCCCAACCCAACATGCAAAAATGCTAGCCCATGCAAGCTAGCCTGCAAGCTAGCTTGTAACTTGTTTGCCCTGTGCTAGTGGTCAGGAATGAAGAAGAATGCGACAGAGTCTATGGCTTAATGTCTGATGTGTTAAAAGGTAAAGATTGAACACTAAAGGCTAGGTGATATGTTACAACTACTTGAGATTCTTGAGTAGAAATGGGATAGATATCTATAGATTTTATCACTGGTTTGCCTAGAACTCAGTTGGGTTATAATGTAATATAGATGATTACGGATCGTTTGTCTAAATCGATGCATTTCTTGCCTGTAAAGACAACTTATTCACTTGAGAAGTATGCCAAGGTCTATGTGCATGAGATTGTAAGACTTCATGGAGTACCTAAGGGCATTGTCTTTGACTACAATTCAAGGTCTACATCAAACTTCTAGAGAGCATTATAGAGAACAATGGGAACGAAGTTAAGGTTTAGCATTGTCTATCATCTACAGACAGGCGGTAAGACCGAGAGAACTATCCAAACGTTAGAGGATATGTTGCAAGCCTATGCTCTAGAGTTGAGAGGTAGTTAGGATACTTAAATTTATTGGGTCTAGATTTAGTGGGCCAAACCAGTCAAAACATCTAAATGATTAAACAAAAGTTGTTAATCGCTCAGAGTTAGAAGAAGAGCTATGCAAATCAGCAGAGGAGGCCGTTAGAATTCTTGGTGGGTGATCATGTGTTTTTTAGGGTCACACCAATTATTGGTATTGGAAGATCAACAAAAGCCAAGAAATTAACTCTTAAGTTCATTAGTCCCTTTTAGATTTTGGAAAAGCTAGGATCTGCGGCCTATCAAATTGTTTTACTACCTAGTTTGTCAGATGTTCATGATATTTTTTACATGAGTCAGCTCAAGAAATATCAACCAGATCATTCTCATGTTATTGAGCCAAAAGATGTGGAACTACAAGAAAATCTGACATATAGAGCTGAATTAGAGTAAATTGTGGATGTGAAAGATTGACAATTGAGAAATAAGACTATCTGTTTGGTTAAAGTCTTTTCGAAGGGCATAACTCCTAATGATGCGACTTGGGAGACCGAGGACAAGATA